TCTTTTGATCCAGATAGAAATAAGAAGGGAGACGGGATAGAAGGGGACTTCTCCCCTGCCCTACCCTGCCCTGCCCTGCCCTGCCCTGCCCTGCACTGCACTGCAACCCTCTTGGGACCTGCCCTACGTCCCACTGATCCCCTGCGCTGCAATCCAGCACCTTTTGGGACCTGCGCTGCGTTCTACTGCCCTCCTGCACTCTACTGCAGACTCTTTTAGGACCTGAGCTGAGTTCCACTGCTCCCCTTCGCTGCGCTGCGCTCCAGACCCTCTTGGGACCTGCGCTAAGTTTCACTGGACCGTAGTTTGGTACTTTATCACTGACGAACAACTTCTAGAAAGGACGGTTCATGATCGTTAAGGCGAGATAACTGTGACGACCCTGAATCACTCCCCCTCACGGAATTCTCTTCGGAATCCACCTGCTTCTCCAAGGAGACGGAGTTCCTTAACCTTTTTCGCACTGAAGCCTGCTTGTGCGTATTGTCGTGGTTGCGAATGATGTTTAAGAAGGAACGAACCACTTGCTCGTACGCTTGCTTGTGTCTACCGTCTTCCCCCGAATAGAACGCACGGTCATTATAGCTGTACTTGGGGAAACTTTCAGTCTTGACACAGCGAGAATGGCCGTGACTTCTACTCGGGAGCTGATGACGGTAGGACCCCATTTTCATTACTGCTGTCGAAAAGGCAGCTCTGTGACCATAGCTGACGACAGCCCACTCACAATCAGCATGCAATAGCTTCTGGACGGACGTGAATCGTAGTTTTTGCCGTTTATGGGAAAAGGTGACCTCTGTAGTCAAGTGTCTCAATGGCTGCCTTGTTTCGTAATTGCACGACGTGCTATGCACCCCTTTCGAAAGCGCATGTCCAGTTTGCTGCAGAGCACGGCAACAGAATGCATGCTTCTTGGTCTGGCATTTACCCCTGTCATTGTACCACCTCCTCTCCTCTCTGTCCTCTGTCGATGAGGGCATGCTTAGGACTTCTGTGCTATTCGACCACCTTTCCCAGTTGTTGCTTGGAGGGGTTCGGCTCCGACATGTGCACCGGCAGTCCTGCCAAGCAAACAAGAGTTTTATCGCCGTACCCTCTGTGGCGTGCTTCGGACGTTCCTATCGTCCATGGTTTCTTGGCGGCTTCTTGAAATCCCCTCACTTCGTATTGCCTTGCGCTGTCTGTTTGCTTTTATTTCTTGATGCTCTTTCTTTGGGCTTGCTCCCTCAATCTATTCTCTGCAAGGTGAGTGTCTTACTCCTCGCTTAATCTCTGCCACCTTCATCTTCCTTCTCCTCGACACCCCCCCAAGAAGCGCTCTTCATCAGCTCCCTCATCTACTCTGCCGTGTTATCGTCCTATTCCTCGCTCAATCTTTGTCAACTTCATCTTCCTTCTCCTCGACATCCCCAAGAAGCGCTCTTCATCAGGCGAGAAGACGAGACTTTCCGTTCGATCAACTTCATCTTCCTTCTCCTTGACACCCCCAAGAAGCGCTCTTCATCAGGCGAGAAGCCGAGACTTCCCGTTCGACTCACCCTAGATTCTGCCTTTGCTTGGATGATTTGGCAAGCCCTCTTCATCAGGCGAGAAGCCGAGATTTCCCGTTCGACTCACCCTAGATTCTGCCTGTGCTTGGGTGATGTGGCATCTTACGGGCATTCTCTCTCTCTCTCTCTCTCTCTCTCTCTCTCTCTCTCTCTCTCTCTCTCTCTTGCTCGCTCGCTCGCTCGCTGGCTGGGCGTTGTCTGTGTTACAACGATCCAGTGCCGTTGCGCTCACAAGGGCACTCTGCCATCCTTGACCATGCTCGCAGCCCGTGGGGTTGCGGTCTTACTCCGGAGTTATTCTCGTTGTTTCGTTCTACCTGTCGTTCGCACAGGCCCAAATTTGTCGTTGGAAGGTTGGTGAAGTTGCAGGGTGGGCAATTTTAGGGGGCAGGGCAGGTTAACTACGGGCTGCGCACCCGTGCCCTCACGGTAAGTCAATTCGCAAAGCTTCAGTGCGACTCTTGCCCGCAGCAGGTAGTTATCTCTACCACCCCCGTCTGCCATGCAAAGCAACGCTGTTGAGCACCGTGGAGAGTACTGATCTATCTCGGGAGCAATCAATGAACTCTGCTTCCTTGTCATCGCTGTCTATGCCGGATTCAGAGTACGGCTTATATATCACAACTCTTATTATGTCAGTGGTTAGTTTGGCTATCCCAGTTTTCCCTTCTGTGTGTATCATCTGACCATTTGGGACCAGGGTCAGGACCACAAGTGCAGGTTCCTCACATGTAATGCGCCTTGTTCGGTGGTTCTTGCCACAGCCAACATACGTTGGTGCAATTAGACTCGCTTTCAGTCACACTTTACATGCATGCAAACAGTAGCGCAGCAAACCGGCGACATGCGCCCACTCAAAACTCAGAGATATGGCAACCCAGATACGAGTTCACTTTCTATGGCTATGGCGACACAGCGCCCAAACAACTCTCTGTTCGCATACACTGGATCACCCTGGATATCCCACACGCGGTTCTCTGAGCACTCACACACACACACTGAAACCCAACTACAGCTATGGCGGCTATGACCGCCTCTACCCTATCGCTATGGCTAAGCTTCGTCTCTCTGCCCACTTCGTCTTCGGGCTTACTGCAGACCTCCTTGCACAAGTCGCTGTGGCAGCGGTTCCGCATGGCTCACGCAGGAATGAATGAATGGCTGGGCGCTGCCTCTTGATTTATACTTCTGCAGCTCGTTGGTCTGGCCCTTTCCCATGCCCGAAGTGCACACAGTCCCATGCGGTACTTGCTTGACTGGACCAGGACTGCCTAGGACTGGGACTGCTGACTCAGCACGGACAGACTCCACCACTTGCCTCACCACTTGCCCACTTGCCTCAGTCTAAACGTGGGCAACTTCGAAAGGCCACTATTGGGACCTTCCGGAAGTCCGTAGACTTGGCCTTTCGACACTGTAGCAGCTGCGACTTTGACCTCTCTAGACTGCACTCTTTGGGAAGACTACAGCTACGACTTATAGGCCTGACTAAGACTCCTATACGACAGGTCTACAGATCGAACTCCTGCGACCTCTGGACCCTACGACAGTCTACTATTGTTACCAACACACAGGTCGTGGGTTCGACTCTATGGGCCGACACATGTATTGCACACAGGTAAGCTGGGGACTAGGGATCGAGCCCTGGGATCTGCATCAGCTACTGCAAACTGGTGAATACCGTTTCATTGGCGGTGGTTGTAGTGTAAGCTGGTGAATGACATCCAGCGTGAATGGTATGTTGAGAACTCGCTTATGCATTTGGCTTGTTTGGTCATCGGTGCCTCGTCTGTTACTCATCACTACACCGGGGCCCATTGTGGTCACTATCGTCTCTGCTTCCCCCTCCCCTCCCCTCCCCTCCCAGGTGTTCCTAACTGCATAGTCGATGACTTGGGATTACTCTTGGTTGTCAACCTGCAAGGACTCTTCTCCTGTGTACAATAGTTGCCAATCTTCACTGCATGCTTTGCTCAGAAAATATCAGGAGAGCTTGCATGATTTCCATCATTAACGCCGAATTATGCACAAATCAAGACGGTATGGGCACTAATTGAATGAATTATGGAATGACAGGACAACAACCCATGATAAATTTGAATGAAGGGAGGGTCGGTGAATGCCGAGTAAGCGAGCGAATGAATATGGGTCTCGACATCACCCAGGCCGGCAGCTTGATGGCCTGCAGCTGACGGTCCGCTGACAGTCTAGCAGATTATTGCTGATAGCCCACTGCAGTTCACCAGCTTGACCTGCTGTTTATGATGGCCATATGCTTTTGCATTACACTCCATGTTGCCATGGAATGGGGGCTTACCTGTCAGTGGACTATTCTCTGGGCAGTGTCTGGATTTGGAAGTGAGTGCTTATTTACTGCATGCTGATACCGTCCTTCCCCCCAGTTTCCCCTCTGTCCCCATCTATTTACGCTCTTCACCCGGCCTGTCCTCTTCTAACTCAGCATACTTATCGCATTGTTGACTTTTTTTATGCCCTTTTCTTCTGTCCTTCGTCCCGCGGAAGGCTTATTAGGCCCTTGTCATTCCTTCTTTGCATTTTGCGGTTGAAACAATGGTGGAGGTACAACGAGGATGAGGAGGTGGTGGAAGTTGAGGAAGACGGAAGTCTTGGTTGTTGCAAGATACCCTGGGATGTGTCATGCCAATCTGGAAGGAAGCCAGTAGAAGGGAAGGACGAATGTGAAGAAAGGGAGGACGAAAATGTGGCAAGGAAGAAAACGTGGCAAAGGAAGAAAACGTGGCAAAGGAAGCAAACATGGCAAGGAAGCAAACGTGGCAAGGAAGCAAACGTGGCAAGGAAGCAAACGTGGCAAGGAAGCAACGTGATGAAGAAAGGGAGGACGAATGTGAAGAAATGAAACAAAAATTGTTGGTTCTCCTTTGCTGCGTTGGTTCAGAACCTGGTCCCGTCTCAGCTTGCTACTGTTGGTCCTCCTTCAGTCCGTTGGTTCACAACCTGGTTCCTTCTCAGCTTGTTTGTAGGAACCCCTCAGTTTGTGTGTCTATCACCTTGTCAATTAGGCAGGCAGGAGGCTACATTGGATTGCACCTTTTTTTCCTCATCGTCTGCGCAGTGGATGTGGTGATGGATACCTGCCATTGGTGAGCCTATGATGAGTGCAGTTTCTGGGCCAGTTTGGGGTAGCATGGTATGTTGCTTGATCTACTGAGGGGAATGTGACGAGTGCAACTGATGTGGTCAATCCGCTGCTCATGAGTGTGTTAGTCCGTGAGTGTGCCGGTATTCATCTGCTTGGGATACAAGGTGCTGCCGGGCTGCGGACATAAATGGCCATTGTCAAGTCGCTGGTTCTTTTGTGTCCGATGCTATCTTGCAGGTGATGTGTTAATGGTGTTGAGTTTGGCAAGGTGAGGACTTAAGTGCCATTGTCCAAGTGCTGATTCATTTGCTTGTGGTGCCACCTTTCAGGTGCTCTGTTTATGGTGCTGGATTTGCCAGGTGGAGGACGAAGATGCCCATCGTCCATTGAATTGGCCCGCAAGCGTGAGCTCTTGCGCTATGCGCGCTTCCACTCCTTGCCTTTGACATCCACAGATGATGTCCGCGGTGTCAGCATGCGATCCCTGTTGCCTGGCAGTGCTGGAGGAGTTAATGTGGACCTTGGGATGAAAGACATTGCCTTATCCCTGGACACTGGACCTATCAGTGACGCTGCCATTGTGTCCGATTTTGATGACAATGGAATGCGCGAGAGCGTTACGTTCAATGTCAAGCAGGGCTGGAGCGTCGTTCGGGAACAATTTTCTGGGTCTGCTGCTATGAGATATAGTGATACCATCTTCGGTTCTTCGGCGATGGCTACATCAATCAATGTATCAGGGCTTATTCAATTTCAAGAGCAGGTATTTTCCGTGGTCAAGTGTGTTGTTTCCTAGCACCCGACATAATAGTTTACAAAGACAAACCTGTTGTCTTCCGTGTGTGATGTCATTCTGTTGTATGTTTCGGTGTCTACCAACTCTTGCCATCCAGCGTGCACGTTGACATGCACTGACACATGGTTTGTACTGCACAACCTACTTCCGTAGACCATGCCTATGTAGCAGTGCTTTGCGAGTGTGAGAATCACAGGCAGAGCTTCGCTGTAGGGTGCACAACCGACTTCCTTAGAGCATGCCTATATAGCAGTGTTTTGAGTGTGAGAATCACAGGCAGAGCTTCGCTGTAGGTGCCAATTGCTTACCCGATTTCCAGTAGGTGCCCGTCTCTGTAGTCTCGCATGTTGTTCTCCTTGTTCGTCCTCCATTCCAGTCTGTTTATGGATGGATTTTTCCTGCTAGTTGTTGCAGGCTTGGCTGTTTTGCTGAGCCGAGGCCACCGCTGTGTGTGTGTGTGTGGGGTGTGTGTGTGTGTGTGTGTGTGTGTGTGTGTGTGTGTGTGTGTGTGTGTGTGTATGTGTGTGTGAGAGAGAGAGAGAGAGAGACATGCAAGACTGTGGGGGGCAAGACAACAGGGAGTAGTGCAGGGCATGCCTGTGCGCAGAACAGATGGTGAGAAATGATGGGTGTGCATGTGCAGTGGGGGGGAGCGAAGGGCGGGAGAGAGAGGGAGAGGGATGGAGGGAGAGAGGTGCACACATATGCAGTGAAGACAGGCACACAAGAGAGGAAGAGGCATGTGTGTGTGTGTGTGTGTGTGTGTGAGAGAGAGAGAGAGAGAGAGAATGGAGATCTGTGTTTTGCTTTATACATTTTAGGTGGGCGAAGCTACAAGAGGTCTTCTGGTGTAACATGAGTAGCCCTCCCCTACCTTACCCCCCCCCCCCCCCCTCCCTCCCCTGGGCCCCCGGTGGCCTCTCTCACTCTCAGCGGAACTGAAGTGATCACATGGGTCTCTGTGTGCTAGGTCAGCAGCGTTGCTAGGTCGGCGCAACAGGTTATCACTGTTCATTGCTTTTCATATACAAGCTTGGTCGCAGGCGGGTAGAGCAACAGTAGGGAAGGGATGGGGGGCCCACATAAAAGAAAAAGATAGTGCCTCTGCTCATGTTTCAAGTCACACTGCGTGAAATGACGCGTCTTACGGGGTATGGCAGTACAACTGAAAATGATAGTTAGAATTTGCGCAAAAAAAAACTGAAAGAAGTAACTAACCAAGAAAAAGAGAGAACTGTTACCTGAGAATGAGAAGAGGGAGGTCTCTGTCTTGTCTTGCATTATTTTCTTTTTGCTGCTTCTTTCTGTTCCCTTGCTTGGGAGAACTGCCCTGCCAGCTCAGCAGAGCAGCCTCAAGAAACCCCAGCGCACCCGACCTGGCTGCAGTACAATACACTCTTAATTGTATCTGGTCCATCTGGACAGTAAGATGCCACAGATACATATAGAATGTTGGGTGGTGTCTTTTTTTTTTCCAAGTTTTTTTAACTGCACCTGCCTGCCTGTCCTCTTGTCACACACACTGCTGGTACCGGTACTCTCAGCTTACTCGCGGTACCAGTCAAGAACGGGCTCGGCAAAATGCACTTTTGGGTTCGTTAATTTTAGCTTCAGATTGACTGGTGGTTGTAAGGACTTGTTTCTGCCCCCCATTTTCTCTCGTTCTCTTTCTTTCAGTCTCTCTGCTCCCTTTTTGCCTTGCCCTCTGCACGTGTATATGCACTGGCAGAGTTGACACTGACCTGGAATCGTGATCAGAAAACTGGTGGACATGACGTGTCCACAATATGATGTTAGTTGAAGAGTGGGGACAGAATGTCAGGGATCTCTCTCTCTCTCTCTCCACCCCAGTCCTCCAGTTTCTGTTCATGCACAGGTAAACTCAATGGTAGTCTGGACCGGTGATGGGTTGTATGAACAGAATGTGCGTGAGATTTGACTCAGAAGCGGAAGTGGTGAAAAAAAAAAGGAAGCATTCGTGGTGATTAGAGGAATGTCTGCCTCGTCCTATACACTTGAACAGTTCAGCTCCACAAGCAGCAGCAGCGCTTTTGTACACGCAGTGATGCGTTTGCCAGAAGCACATGCCCAAAAAGGGGAACATATAATTTCTGGTGCTTGTCAAAGTGATTATTGGAAGCAGTGTCAGCCCTTCCCGAGCACATAGCATCTCTGCTCACTCTGAACTCTCCTTCCCTACCCCCCCCTCCCGCCCCTTGGAAAAAGAAATAAGAAACTGGATAGGACAGGGCCTAATTGTGGGTGGGACTGGCTAGGACAGTATTGCCAGGCCTTCTACACACTTCAAAGGAGTCCGAATGGAAAAAAGAAGCTGGCACCAATCTTTCCGGGACAGGGCCTACTGGTGGGCCCAGCTCCTCCATGAACACCCTGGTAAACCTGTTGCGTCGGTGCACCTGGCTGCTACCTGGTTGCTCCCTAAGGCCGTCCTAATGCATTTTGGGGTCTTCGTGCAATCCTTTTGGACCTGTTTTTCAGTATGCCGGTGGCATTAGTGCGACCACCCTGTAGCTCCCCAGACCTTCCCTTTTGCATTTTCTTGGGAATATGCTGATTTTGATGTCCGCGTGTAATCCTGGGTTCCTGCTATCCAAGTCTGCTGTGCCAGTATGCCTACAGGAGTGTGCTATGCCCCTTAGCGGTGGGAATTGGTCTGTGGTGTTGCCAGTCCCATCAGATGGGACGTAGGGCGATGACTTGCTTGAAATTGCCTACGATATCTGTGCTGTTAACTATGTTCATCGTTAGGCAAGTTTTGAAGAGGACTTCACTTTCTTTGCCGAGTTGACGAAGTATTTGGCTGCCCTTTTAAGTCGGTCCATTTGCAAGGAAAGTCCCTCTCCGATTCTCAGATCCGCTCATGGGTATGCCACACTTCGTAACTGCATGTAATCATGTATGAGAAACCTCAAAAGTTGTGAACGGAAAGGATTCACGCTGCAGACACGCAGTCCCGGTCCCAAGGTCTTGTGCCAGGGCCATCCCGTAGGGTAGGCCGTAGGGTCTAGAGGCCGAAGTAATAGGTCCGAAGGTGTCGGTACCGAAGCGTCGTAGGTCGGTAGGAGTCCGTCCGGTACCCGGCAAGAAAAGTCCAGAATCGTCCAGTCCAGCCCGACAGTCCCAAGTCCAATTTTGCAGCATGTCCCAGGAAAGTCCGAAAGCTACCGGACCGACAAAATGTTTGCAGCAGACAGGCCGCGGCCGACCGGTACCGGTCTGAAGCAGGCCAAGCCAAGCCATGCCCAATTAGCTGCTACAGTGCAGCGGCTCATCACTTGTTCAGTTGCGAGATGCAGCCGCTGCTTGTGCGTGAAGGCAACTTGGGCACTGTGCGCCCGAAGAAGGAACTTCCTAGTTTACACCTTGACTGAAAGGCCTACTGGCTTCTACAGACTTTCATACCTCAACCATTACCTGCCGGAATCCTCCTACCGCGGCCTACTGACAACACATGTGACTGAAAATGAGGCTGGGACTGGAAATTGGAACTGGAACCAGGCTGGTAGTGGCTAAATCCTTTCACCTCCCCTAAATCATTGTCCTCCCATGTTAGACCAAGAGTACCTTTCCCAGCCACCTTCTTCCAACGTGTTTGTATGTAACCGTGATTTTGGAGGGTTCGACCTACTAGATCGTGTTGGCTGGTGGCACCAGCCAAAACGAACAAAAATTGTGGCCAGCCACGTTTCCGAAAGTTTGTGGACTTTCCTGGGGCTTTGTGGCTGACTGGACTGACTGAAGGGCCTACTGGCTTCTACAGGCTTCCATACCTCAACCGTTACCTGCCAGAATCTTCCTACCGGAATCTTCCTACCGCGGCCTACTGACAACACATGTGACTGAAAATGAGGCTGGGACTGGAAATTGGAACTGGAACCAGGCTGGTAGTGGCTAAATCCTTTCACCTCCCCTAAATCATTGTCCGCCCATTGTTAGACTACTAGTACCTTTCCCAGGCACTTTCTTCCAACGTGTTTGTATGCAACCGTGATTCTGGAGGGTTCGACCTTACCAGATCTCGTTGGCCGGTGGCAGCAGCTAAAAAGGAAAAAAATTGTGAGGGTTCAGCACAAATCCTCTCAGGAAGCAGATGCTTGGAGGTACGGTTGTTCGAAGGGCAAAATGCCTGAATTCCCCTTCCTGGACTGGGCTAGTAAAGAATCGGAATGGAATTAACGACGACTGCACAGCCCTGTGAGGGTTCGTCATATCAATGAATCCCCTGCCTGGCTCGGGGTCTGTTGTAGCAGTCTAGACACCTGAATGCCAGAGAAAGGTGAACAGATCTGCACAGCCCTTTGAGGGTTCATCATACCAATGAATTCCCTGCCTGGCTCAGAGTCTGTTAGTGTGGTCTGGACACCTGAATGCCAGAGAAAGATGAACTGTGTAGCATCGTGTTTGCGTTTGGTGACCGAACCCGAACGTTCGCGACCGAACGCGAACGAGCGCCAAAACCCTCCGAGCTCGAACAAAAAAAAAAAAAAATCGGAAAAAACTGAAAAACCTATATGTTATGTACAATAATAATACAAACAACTTTTGCCTGGGAGGTGTGTTCAAGTTAAGAATCAAAAACCTAAAACAACCTAGGCTACCAGAGTGGCCCGGGGTCATTTGCCCGGCCGGGCCAAAAAGATTTAAAAATATATATATATATTTTAAATTTGGTAAAGAATTTTGATGTGACCCTGAGGCAAAAGTTATTCAGTTTATTTTTCTGCATAACATAGTTGTTTTTCGGATGTTTTGGATTTTTTTTTTTTTTTTTGCTGGGACCCTCCCTTGTCCTTGCACGGGCTGGCCACCCGGGACCCGGGCGGCCCGGCTGGTAGCCTAGAAAACAACCTTAAAAAATTAATTAAAAAATAATTGGAAAAAATGTTCGACCGAACACGTTCATTCGGCTGAACATCCGAACATGTTCGGGCATTCGGGAAAGCCCCGAACATGTTCGGTGTGCTACACAGGAACAGAGCTTGCTTAACGGTCTCAATTCCTAAGTGCGTGCTTGCTGCTGGTCACCTGGAAAAAATCAGTCTTATCCTGCTCGTGTGAACTGACAAAGAAGGCTGCTCCTTGAATTTTGCATGTTAGATCCTGGTCATCCTTGGAATCCCAGATTTGTTTCCCTCAATTTTGCATGACCTTCTCTTCTTGTGGTTTCTGTCACTTGTCTGAAGCATGCTTTGCAGCAAAATCTAATGAGCATTTCGTGCTTTAGGCACAGGTCATGGTAAGTTTGGAACCCGCGATATCTCTTTGACATTGTCATACAAAGGAAAAGATGAATGGCAGATGTTGCACTGATAAAATGGCATTTTATGGATTCTTGGTGGTTCACGTGGCGATGGTTTGTTGTTTTTTTGTCTGCTCTTTTGTGCAGTTGTTGACCTTAGAAGTCCCAAAGGTTGCAATGCGGTTTCCTTTGAGAACTGGGCATGCTGTTGATGTGTCCTGGGAGGGGCGGTTGGTGGCAAGAGCAAGGCTTGGGTGCGAAGCAGAGTGTAACTTGCATGGGCGGTGTGAGGTAAGGAACTTGCAGTGAGGAAAGCCACCCAGACATTAAAGTGGAGGCTGTCCGATATGAACGACTCGGGGAAGCACAAGTGAAGGATTGATGTGCCGCTCAGTTTGTCTTTTTGTGAATTTGAAAAAGAAAGTACATTAAACAGACGAGAAGGAAATAATAAACCTGGAAATAAAGGGTTGAGAGGGTCAATCATGCAATGGTGTTGGGCTCTCCTTTCAAGTCATGTATGAACTATTATGAAGTAGAATGAAGTGGCACAGAGGGGCGGGTGGGTGAATGGTGAGGAGGTTTTCCAAATAGGGGTATGTGGTGTGTTGAAAGGGGTTCAGGGGTTGTTGGAGCGCATTCAGGGGATGCATGCAGTGGTGAAGGGCTCGGAGGCGGCTTGGGGGTATCTATGTGAGAGCGGCAGCCATCAAGGAGTCCTAGAGGGGTATTGAGGGTGGTTTGTGGATAAGGCTAGGTGGTGTATTGAGGTCGGGTTGTGGGGAGATGATGAGGTGCTGCTGGAGGTCAATGGGATCCTTCGGGAAAGGATGCTGAATGGAGGGTGCTATGCAGAGGTTGTAGGGTGTTTGAGCAAGTTGGAGGTGGTCATGGGATAGGGGTTGTTTGAAGGGGCTTGCGGAGGTGTCAGGAAGAAGGGACAACTGTCAGAGGTTGAGGATCCCTAAAAGTCAAGCCAAGAACCGGGTGGAGCTAGTAGTGAATTTCCGGGGACTGGAGGGATTTCTGCAGCATGAAAATATTACTGTGTCACGTACACTGGTAGGTCATGTTGGATGCCGGGTGTCATTGTCCCACGTTCTTCTGGTCCTCCAGTTATATAAGAAAAGAAGGGGGAGTGAGAAGGTAGCCACGTTGTCTTATGACCTCTATGGTGGCCTTGTGGTTGGCAATGCAGGGTTTTGTAAAGGCGCCGCAGATGTCTCCTTGCGAATGTGATTGTGGCTGGGCGGGCCCAACATGCAGTGAGCGAGTATCGCAGCAAAGGGAAGAGTCTTATCCAGGGATTGTATCAGAAATACAGTTGGCACGTAATGTGGACCCGTTGGTTGATGAAGTCAAACAAGTTCAAGTCAGTATTCCGCGCCTTCGATCATGGACGAGGGGTCTGGGGGCATTTCCTGTCCAGGTGAGTTCCAGAACGTGCTGCAGAAGGTCGATGTTTTCCATCAGTCCTCTGAGTGATGCAGCATTTTCCTGGAATGACCAGAATGTTGGGCAGTAAAAAACAGAAGGCGACTGGGGCTGGCTGATTTTGGTGAAAGTGAATGGGGGGCCATGAACCTCCTCCCTAACTGTCCTTGTCCTTGCCCCACGTCATTTTGTGAACAAGAAGTATTCCTAGGGCTGTGCCCTTCAGGTTTCAGCCCTGTTCTTCAATTTCCCCCGTTAGTATCCTCCGTCCCATCCTTGTCACATGAAGCCCTCCGCTTCCTCGCTCTGTCAGGCAAGGGTTCCACTGCCACTGGAAATCAAACAACAATGAGAAAGCAATGGTATAGTCCCCCTTCTGGCTCTTCTTCAGTTTCTCCTCTGTGGGCCTGTGGGTTAATAATTCCATTTCTTCGCTATGGTATAAATGCACTTGAGCTGTGGCACCCATGTCCCTACCAACCACAGTTCAGTGTGATGCACCGGGTCAGGCCGGTGGTGTGTTGGGTGGTGCCACAAAAGGCAATGATGACAGGGAAGAGAGGTGGGAGGAGTGGTAGAAACGGTCCAAGAGGAGCAGAGGAAGAGGAGGGGACGGACACAGCGTATCACAACAATGATTAAGATGAGGACACTATCAATAATGACAATGAAGGAGAATGAGGAGAAGAAGAAGACGACGATGATCAAGAAGTGTTGAATGAACAAGAGCAGGGCAAGGAGGAGGAGAGAAAGTTGCTGCAGAAGAAGCATGTGTGTTGAATAAACAAGAGAACAAGGAGGACGAGAAGAATAAGTTGCATAAATGTGCCACATGGTAAGGCACAGCCCGTAGTTGTGCCACTCTTTGTCTGATGTGTTGAGTGCTGTGTGGTTCACGACCTGGCTGTGCAAAAACGCTGCATGCATCAGTGTGGTCAGCCAAACGCTGCATCCATCAGTGTGGTGTGTCCTGTGCCATGGAGTGCGTCTACACTTTTTTCAGTAGGTGCTTTAAGGAAGGGGGTGGAGTACTTCTCCAATCTGTGTGTGTGTGTGTGTGTGTGTGTGTGTGTGTGTGTGTGTGTGTGTGTGTGTGTGTGTGTGTGCGTGCTCAGTCTTGCAGATTCACAACATTACATATTGAAAGCTAATAGAGAAGATTGGCACATTGGCTTCTTCAATGGATTACTGCTGCTTTTATAATTCCGAGTATACTTTTAGCAAGATGAGCTAAATACAAGATACCTCCCATGGACAACATAGTCCAAACAAAACCACTCAAAATCTTCACTAAACTATGACCAGCTATCGTATTTGCAAATAAACGTATTCCTAGACAGTGCGCAAAAACAATAAGAAATTTGAATTATCAAGTAGCCAAAGCAAAGCACATCAACCGGGACTCCGTTAGTAGTGGTGAGTGAACGCAGATTAGGCTGTAAAGGCCATCTGCAATACCCTGCTCAATATGCTCTGAAGTGGCCGAAGGCCACACACAGGCTGCGACCCCGGTCTGAGGCCGCAAGGGCCAAGGGGAGGAAAACCCTTGAATTGGCGCGGGGCCTGTGCGCCGGACAGTTGACTTTGGTCAACCGCCCAGCAGCCCAAGAGTCAAGGTCTGCATGTACCCAGCCCAGGCTGCCGGTCAGACACACGTTTGTTTGCAGGTACCAAGACAGCATCAGGACCAAGTGGAAGTCTGCAATGGTACACAATCCAGGCCCTCGGCTGTGAGTCAATCTGGGCCACCATGGGTGGGAGACCTGAGGCCGGTCAGCCTCATCAAACATTACATAAGGCCTGGCCTCCAGGGAGTCAACATTCAGTCTTGCTATGCTGCCATGACGCTGGCTTGACGCTGGCTTGACGCTGGCTTGACGCTGGCTTGACGGTTGCTGTGCGCTGGCGCTGTGGACGATGCGAGACTGCTGCTGGACGCTGGCGCCTTTTTGCTTTGGCGCCAGCCTATGCTGACGTGGTGCAGGGCCGCACTGTCTTCAACATTGCTGATTTTGCGCATGCCACTGTCTTCATTGCTGACGTGGCATTTGCCACATTGTCTACATTGCTTTGGACGACACAAGACTGCTGCTGCACGCTGGCGCCTTTCTGCTTTGGCGCCATCCTGTTGACGTGGTGCAGGGCTTCGTTGTCTTCAACATTGCTGATGTTATGCATGACACTCTGTCTTCATTGCTGACGTGGCATTTGCCACATTGTCTACATTCCTGAGTTGGACGCGACAAGGAGGGAAATCGGGATCTGTGGATGATTGAGAGGGAATGGGATACTTACCTGCGGTTGATATCGATACTGTGTGCTGCTGATTGTCTCCAACATCTTCACGGGAGAACTGTGCCATGTGGCACTTCGATGTGATCAGGATCTGTCAGGCTCGTTACTGGATACGGTTTTATTGACGTGGAGGAGAAGGGAAGCCCGGAGAAGGAGTGGGAGCTGTTGGGCTACTCTCTTTGTGGTCATTGATGGTTACTATCTCTTCCACCTTCTAATCTGTCTATTCCCCCTCCACTATCTTTGTTTATTGGAAACGAGACATTGTATCAGAGATCACATTCATGATTATTGAAGAAATTGTTCAGAGTCAGTTGCTTTGTATTTCGACATCTGGCGAGTATCTTACAGACTGGGTTCATTACAATTTGGTATTTGTTATCAGAGCTTACCTTCTTCGTCGCGATCTGCTGTCAGGCGCCACGTGGCGCCCAGGTAAGTGGGAGGTGCCGCGCGCTATAGGAGAGAAACGCATTTATTATCGCGCGCCATTATTATCGCGAGTCTAGACAGTGACTTCCATGCGCGTGCGCACGCTCCCTTGAAGATGACGACGTGGACACCGTGAGATGGTGACATTGCTTGCGTGGCGCTTTGTTGCTGACCTGGCAAGATACTGGCGAGAGCATCGTTGGCTGCAGGCTGATGTGGCGCTGGTGAGAGAGGGAGTGGGTATCAAGGATGCTGACGTGGTGTGCTGCCTACGTGGCATAGCGCAGGGGTGCTGACATGGCATCCTAGGGTTGGCAGGGCATTGTTTGACGTGGCACGTACCTGTGTTGCGACTTACCTGCTGACTTGGTGCTCCACACTCCAGCGGTACTACTTTGATCTGACGTCGCATACTAGTGTTGGATGAGTTGGCAGTTCGGGCATTGCTGATGTGGCATCTCACCAGAAGGCCGTGCTGGCTCTTGACGCTGACGTGGGACATGTGCTGTGTTAGCATTCTAGGGGTGATACGTGGCATTCTAGAAGAATACCGGAGAGTAAAGAAGGAGAAAGAACAGCGAGAGAGAAAAACTGGTGAAATCAGACAACAATTTCACTTTGAAGGACCAGAGACCGACCTTGCATCCGTTCTGAATAATTTGATGGCTTACCTCGCGCATCTGGAATTGAAGATTGACAGTAACACCGTCGCAATTGAGACAATGACTAAACTTATGAAGGGCAAGGTGGTGATAGAGGAGGTGGCCAGGGGGCTGAAAGAAAGGAACCCCAAGAGAAGCTTATGAAGGATGCAATGAAGAGCACAAAGGTAAAGTCGGACAAACTTTGAAGAAGGAACCTGAGAAACCGTTGGAAAATAAAGAAGAGCCTGCCAAGAAAGAACCGGCCAAAGAAGTTGAGAAGCCGAAAAAAAAAGAAAAGGAGAAAATGAAACTTCCCTTTACCTACAACAGAAAGAGAGGCGAGCATTTGTTGCTCTGGATCACTGAGATCCAGACATAGTGTGGGAATGGGTTTTGTCTGAAGCCAAAAAAAAAAAGAAAAAAAAAAAGAAAGGGCCGGCCAAAGAAGTTGAGAAGCCGAAAAGAAAAGAAAAGGTGAAAATGGAACTTCCCTTTACCTACAGCGGAAAGAGAGGCAAGCATTTGTTGCTCCGGTTGAGCCTGAAAGCCAAGTGGCTTTCACTACATGTTTAGTTGAGGTAGCAGAGGAATGGGTTTTGTCTGAAGCCAATGCTGCTGGCTTCGAAGGTATCGGTGAGTGGTCCAAAACTTCGACCCTTAGGGAATTCCTCAGAAAGATTAAGGTGCAGTAACCCATGTTCTGCAGCAGTCTGGGCCCTCGAAACAGGAGCCCAGACGACGCAGGCCAAGCTCGGCCTGCGCCAGGCAGTGTGACCACGCACTGCCTAGGAAAGTCAAAAGTCTTAAGTCAACTGTCAAAGGTACCACGCCCAGGCCCTTGGTCGGATACATTCACTTGTTGTGCGCAGGTACCCGGACAGCATCAAGGCCACAGGGAGTTCGGTTTCAGGCAAATCTGGGCCGCCATTTCTCTTGAGATTTCGACGGCCTAGGGAAGCAGCAACCGGGGTCCAGACCCCGCATCACGCTACATAAGCTTGGACTACCTGGCTGGGAGTACATTCTGTCTTGCGTCAATGCTGACTTCACGCGTTGACTTCGACGCTAGTACGACGCTGCGATACTGGCTGGACGCTGGCTCTACGCTGGCACTTGAGCGACTATGGCGACGCGCTGCTGGCTTGGCATGGTGGCTGGCTAGCAATTGTCTTTTGGGCATGCTGATGTGTCAGCTGCCACGCGCCGCCGCTGATGTGGCTGCTGCCACATGTACTCTTGCTGACGTGGCGGGGCTACGTGACTGATATTGCTGTTCTGACTCATCGTCACTCGGAAGGAGGTCAAGACTGTGGGGCACATTGAGATAGAACTTCAGATTTGTGTTCGGACTATTGATTATTGAGGTGGCGATCGAGGAGGGAGCCCGAAGCAGAAGTGGGCGTTGTTTTCTTCTCCACTCTTAAGTCTACTCTCCCTTCTTTCTCTTTCGTCTGTGTATGTTTCCCCATCTCATTCTATCTGGACACGATTATGTTTATTGACAATCATCAGCAGGTTGATATCTATCTGGGCTTGCATTGTTGACAAGTGTCTAAGTGTCTTCACGATCTGGGTTCATTGCAATTTGGTATCGGAGCTGTACTTCCGATGATGTGACTGACGA